ATTGAAACATAATGAATATTGCAAGTGGAACCGAACCCCATATGAATAGGTCTGGCCTTGTGGGTTCCTTTTGCTTTCCTCTTTTCAATGTCATCTTTCAGCCCCTCTGCATCGCTATCCACAGCTGCCCCGGGCGATGAGTAACCAGTGGCAAATGGATCCTCTTTGCTAGCAGTAGCCGTTGTGTTTTCAGAATCTTTGGGTTCTACCTTTGCTGTTTGCATGCGCCGCAACGTGGGAGGTTCTTTCACTTGGAAGTTGGGATGTAGAGTACTGCGGGGGGCCTCATCAGCATCACGACCTTCCTGAACATCATAAGAACTCTGTTCTGCACCTTTCTCATCATGACCTACCACGCACTCAACGCAATAGTCATCAACAAACTCCTTCTCTTCCTCCGCTCCTTCATTCCCTTCCCCGCCAGTGCCCGCAACCACACGTTGAGCCCCAGTGTTTTCCACAGTCTTCTCAACCTCGGGGGATGGATGTGGCGGAAAGAACTGCGAGTCATGCCCCGGGGACTGTGTTTCCACTTTCTCTTTAGCCTGCGCAGGTGAATGCGTGCAAGATCGTGCAAGCAGCAACATATTTGTACGTGCATGAGCGGAAAGGCATTAACTGTTCACACCAACATCCACTGATGCCTCCTTCGTTGGAAACATTGAACGTCCTTTGGTTGGAATCTTCTTCTTCTTTCCTTTGAGAAGAACACCTCTGTCCTAGGGGACATGACAAGGTTCATGTATTGCGCGTGTGACCCCCCTGCATGGATGATCATGGATGTAAGGTGATTGAAGTGGTGCCTCAAAAGCTGCCAGCGCCATGTCCTTCAAGGATTGCATCCTTTGGTGGCCCGCCCTTGCAAGTGACTTGGCAATGCCAAAATACTTCAGGAGCGTTCACATGAACAAAAGAGATTCCAGGAATGTCCGGCCAACATCAATTACAGGGAGGCACCTGGCCTGGCGTTCGGGTGCCTCATCACGCGATTGCACACGTAGCTGGCAATCGCTCGGTGCAATCCCGCTTCCACGCGGGCCCATTCCTAAAAATGCAAGTAGTACAACTCTGAATCATGAAGTATTCTAGATTCCAGCCTCATGCTGTGAAGGCTGGGTAAAATTGGGATTGGCCACAGTTGATGCAAGCTTCAAAGCTTCCTGGAATGAGCAACCGGAATCAGAGACAACTTATAGGATATGGGTTTCTCATTCTAAAATGCTCTATTCAAAAGAACCCAGCAGCCCAATCCGGAAAGTGCGATTGAAGCAGTCCTGGACCTCACCTTGGGTTGGTAGGTCACCAGCAAATGTTGCCAAAAAGCCCATCCCATGCTGGTAGTTTGCATCCTTCACCACCTGCAATGCGAAGGGGTTGGTGATAGTGGGGTTTCAGATCTTACTATGTCATGGCATCTTTCCTGCCCTAAAGAGATTTATTGTTTCTTGTTTTTTGGCGATGAATCAGTTGGTCAATGAAGACATGTTGAGACCAGCCGTCCGTGACCAGCCTCATCTTCTCCAATCTTGCCCGAGGTGGCATCCACAAAAGAAAACACCTGTCAGACTGTGGGGAACCAACTTGGTTGACCAAGTTGACCATTTAATCTATTTCATCTCCAGTCAGCTATCACCATCAAGGACAAAAACAGTTACTCAGTACTGGGCCCTGGTGAAACTCAACGAGTTTTTTTTAACGCAGTAAGTTGCTGCCTTGCGCTCTTCCTCTCGAAGTTTCTTCCTCCGCTGCTTCAAGAATTGTGGGTCGCAAAGATCTTTGTAATATCTCCTCCGAACGAAAACAGATCACACATCAATCATCGAATGGTGGGTGAATGCGAATCAAAAAACACGAAGCACAAATAGATTTATCGAACAACACCCCTGGGCCCATGTTGATCGAGATTGAACTCTGATATACAATCGAACGATCCTTCAGCATCTCCAAGCGGATTTGATTCATCCTATGTGGCCGAGGTGTTGGCATCTGCAGTGCCAAAAAAGTCCGCGCTGGTGCAAGGGACCCGACCTTTTGAGCCAAAGACCAAAAGAATATAATCTTGTGCAGGCCACCATCATCGTGAAGATGACAAAGGTACTTTGATCATGGTGACACATGGGATCTATAGACTCAAAAGGTCGACAGTAACGGGCTGGGTCAGGCAGCGTACCACCGTCATCGGAGTCGCCCATCGCAATCGAGTCATTGAAGTCCTCGAGGGCATTGTGGCCTGGGCACGGGGGTGGAAAGTATTGACGGACCACTTGGGGTATCCTGCGATGTATGCTCTGAGGGTGTAGCTGGCACTGAGTGATCTTTTCATTCGCGGCTTCAGGCTAACCTGGGTCAGCTGGTGCAATTTGTGGTATCTCCCCTCAAATTACTGATTATACAGCAGTTGCTGTGCTTGGGACATCGATGATTGCCAAGAAACATCAGCCTGAAACGCTCCAGTCAGGCCCACCCGCCACGCAAAGAGAAGCCAGAACCATGGGCGCATCAGCGCATCAAAACTAAGATCGAAGGAAGAGATGCGAACAATGGGTGGTCAAAATGATCAAAGTCTATTGAGTATGCATGTCCTGGTGTTCGAAGACATCTGTATGGGAAACAGCTATATCACATGGACCATGCATGCGTTTCAGTCACGGGTTTGATCCACACCTGAGAGAACCAAGCAGTTCTCAACAAAAATGACCATCCAGCACGAGGCCCAATGCCATAGTTTGGTCCCTGAGACTGAGACTAAACTTAGTTTGGTCGATGACTCCTAGGGTATATATATATATTGGTTCATTTGGTCCGGGTACCTTCACCCATGGTTTCTCCACTAGTTCAACCATGTTTACTTGGTGGTTCGTTTTTACTTGTGGCACTTGCAACTTAGTTAAGACACTTATAGGACTTAAGCAACTTGTAAGTAGTACTTAGGGAACTTAGGTTTTATTAGTTTTTTAATTATAACCGTAAGTTGTATAAATTACTTGTAACTAACTTATAAGTTCTGTAAGTTCCTGGACGACCAAAAGTATAGTCTCAAACAAGTTTTTTTAAAAGAACCAACAAATTAGAAAAACTAAATTTTCGTCTTGAGATGGGCAGGCAGCTGTGAGAAAAACTAAGTGTTCGTTTGCAGATCCACGTGCCTTCGTGTCAGACCACATGAAGCGCAGCCATAGCAAACACTCCCTCAACACCTCAAGCTGGAAGTCTGCATCTTTCTCAAACCAAGGCATGAGAACCATGATGTTGGCCACGCTCATCCGAACATGTTCTGCGCACAGGCTGGTCATGTCTACCAAAACTGCTCTTGTTCTTTGAACTTCAATGGCAACTGATGTTCAATGATTGTTTCTTCAGCTTGATTCAGCTCAACCCTTTGAAAAATATACAGGGGTTACATATAGGTTGGCTGGTGGTCAATTGATGGGCTAGATCTAGGTTGGCTGGCGGCCCATTGGGCCGCCCAGATGTGTTGGCTGGCGGCCCCAGTGGAAAAATACCATATACTCTAGACTCTAGACCTTATGCAAAGGGTCCTGTACCAAAAGTACTAGTCCTTGAAAAGCAATGCATCAAACACAAACCTTGATTCATGAGAAATTGAACCATTCAAAACAGAACTACCATAGCTTCACCTGATATATCTAAATATTCGGGTTGCTGACCAACAACTTTCACACACATAAATTTTGACTAGCCGATTGTTTTCACATATCACGGAATCACAAATGTATAAAAATGTATAAAAATGTATAAATCAATGCGGACCTAAATTTATACATGTATAAATCAAAAATATCAATTTATACATGTATAAATCACCCCATTTTCAATTTATACATGTATAAATTGATAACGAAATCGATTTATACATGTATAAAAATGTATAAAAATGTATAAACATGTATAAATTCAATTTCTGAATTTTAAGCATTTTGCTTGTCATGCGATGAGCTTTTATCAAATAGAATTCATTTCTCAGAGTTGCCAACCCCACCACCTCATAAGTTTAGACATTCCCTGACTCCCTGATTTTTTAAAAAATCCAGGAGTCAGGATTTAAGCTTTGCTGATTGAGAGCTTTGCTGATTGAGTGCAACAATGCTTTTTGTTTGCTGGCGTTTGCTGGCTCCAAGTGTGCGCTGCTCATGCGACGCGTCCTCAGCTGCCGGTACTGCTGAAGATGGAGCCTGTGCAGCCTAGGAGGATGACGTATGCGGAGCAGCTGGAGGCAATGCGGCCACCTTGCGGGTTTTGCATCCTGGCGGACGGGACCATCCTGCTGTCCAATCGGCCGGAGACCTACACGGCGGAGATGGTGGTTGATGCCTATGAGGCATGGCGAAAGATGAAGGCAGATGGCTTAGTGCGTGAGACCCGACCTGCGGCTCCAAGAGCGACATCCATCATCTGCTCAAGATGGCACGCGGTTCAATGTATATATTTTTTTGCAAGAGACACAACCTGCGGCTCAATGAGCCGCATGTTTTTTTATACAGGAGCAACATCCACAGTGAGCTGCTTGATGAACACGCGATCGGAGCATGAACTCGATTTCAAGTTTAAGAATCAAAGTGCGAAAAAAACACGATTTGATCAGTTTTGGTGTAAATTAGAAAAACTTGAAATTGTATATCTCAAAAAGTTAAGTTCCCTAAGTTAGTTATAACTTTTTTTTGACTAGTTTTTGATAATCTAGATATAGAACTTAGAAATTTCTAACTTTTGTTAACTAACTTGCAAGTGCCACATCTTAACATAAAAACTTGTGCTAGTTACAGAACTTGTAACCCCTTCGTAACCAAGTTACCAACCACTTACAAGATACTTACAAGTTCCCTAGCCAAAAATGAACCACCAAGTACCTACTTTTGGGGAGTGTCAACAAATGATCGACCAAAAAGTCTCCCAATCAGCTGGATCTCATTGGATCAGCACGCGGCGGTCGGTCCGCATACAGGTCCGCAGAACGACGCGTCTAACTACGTCCGAGGCGCGTCTTGCTGCGCCACCTTGCAGCTCTTGAAGCATTCCTTCCACAGGGATTCCAGCTCCTCGACCTGATAGGCTCCAAAACAGAAATCCCATGGGTAAATCAGGGAACATCTATAGGACTCGTGTATATTTATTTTGTACTTTTAAGCACCAGTAACTGGGGGTTTCCTGTGGATTCTTCCTGTGAACAAACAGAAAACATGAAAAAAACACACTATATACTATAGAACATCGATTCTCGTTCTAGATGTGTGTGGTTCTACCGAAAGTCGTTGGATTTTCCAAAATCTGTGCCCGGTAGTGACCGGTTTTTGGAGGGATGAACTGCAGAACAGAACCACTAGACAGGTGATTAAGAACCCCCCTCCCATTTGGATTGAACAATAGTCGGGTGTGCTTTTTTTATGCTTTTTTGGAGAGAGGACGAGAGAGAGATTAGATTGGTTTAATTACCAGTGAAGCAGATCTGTTTCACACTTCATCCATCATTGAATCAAATTCAATCAAATCCAGTTTTTTTTTCCTAGAGCCCAAAGCAGCCGGTGGAAAGGATTTCCCGCACGACACCATCCAGGACACGCCCGCTCGTACCGTCGCACCCAACCTCTTGGCTGATCTCGAGGGCCTCGAGTGCGCGGACGCGCGGACACACGGACCGTCTCCCATCCTTGAGAACGCTCCGAAGCCCAACAAGATCACCGGTGGGAACGTGCCAACTTCGGAACCTGCCAGTATTTTGGTGTCCATTCTTGAGAGCCTCTCTACCAAGTTCTTAACTTCATAGACACCCTATAGGGGCTACGGACTGGTCTCTTGACTACATCTTGCTGATGGGAGACTCGTTGCTTGAGATCAGAGTTGAAGCCCAATCACTCCAAAATACTCCAAAAGTCTAGCATTCAGCACCCGTCCACTCAGCAATGACTGCTCCATTGAGGGCAGTAGAACAAGCGCTTAATGAAGCAATCTGCTGCATGTCTTACCCAAAGGCCCTTCTTTGACGACCACTTAGATATACAGAGCCGGAACAACCCAAACGAAAAACAGCTCGGACTGAATGGGCCTTTGGCCATGGATCTTCTTCCTTGCAGTCCTTGACCGGGTCGCTGCAGCCTGAGGGCATCTCGTCAAGATCACGAACGATCGCGTAGAGAAGTGCATTTTGTGTTGTAGAAGTCCATCTAGCGCACAGTTTTGATGCATGTTCGCCTACAGGGCTGTAAATGGACAAAATGCAACATCATAAGTTGCAACGACATCTAGATCACCATCATACACAGATATACACAGTAAGCAGGTCCGGACTTGTGGCCGCCGCCGACCTGCACCTTATAGCACCTTCGCTGCCATTGGCTCATGCTCAGGTCCCGGCAAGGCCGCGTCTTCCGACAATACATTTCCCAGGACGCATCCTCGGAGACACTCCGAAACCAAAAAACACCGAGACGGAGACGAGTTACGATGCCCATGTGAGTTGAACACAAGGTCCCAGGGTGCAACTTTTGAGGTGCCAAAAGCTTCAACGGGATGGGATATGCAGGGATGGGTTATTGGATTTCTTCAGGGCTGTTGGTTCCTCCAGCCAAATGCAATTCTTTTGGGGCCACAATGCATTAAATGGATGCTTGATTCCAGATCTGCACCTGCCAAATCACCAGGGCTACCCACTTCGTACGAACCAGCAATGAGACACACATATTATATATTCCTCAGCATTCACCTATCTCCGCCGCCTTGCGCAAAGGACTCTCTAGAGCAGGTGTCGATGTCCATGATGACTCGATGACGACTTCGAAGCCGCCTTCCCCACCGGCGACCTCACCTAACCCGCCTTCACAGATCAGGGCACGTTCGAATTTTGGCACTGCAAGGGATCCAAGCTGGAAATCTCGCCGCAACCGCAATGGCAGGTTTTCCCGGCATTGGACTTCCCCGTCACGAATGACTGGCACGGCCGAACGGGAACCCGGAACCCGGAGACTGAATGGGGTGATTTTGTATTTAAAGGAACACATACACACAATAACAAATCACTTTTATGTATATGTCATTTTTCCAGAACATTCCCGAAATGGTGGTAGTGTGTGGTGCTACATTACTTTCTCATCTCACACGTCAAAAAAGAGTCCTCTACTCTACAGGTTGACCTTCCCAACTCTGGGCTGAGACGCACGTTTTCATCCAGGCATTCCTTTTGTGTCAACTGTTCCCAACTGCTGCACCAATGGCTCACATCATAATATATTGTCCCCTCCTTACAGCCTATAGATACACAAAGTGCACGTATCTTACGTCCCTGAAGATCTCTTCCAGAACTCAAAAGCTGAAATTCGACTCACCAACCACTGGACCACCCAGTGAAGAAACTGTTCTGCTGCGCCTTCAACGTGCTGGACGATGGACGTTTGGACTTCGAAGGAATCAACGCCTTCAGCGCCTTCTTCGCAGAGCGAAGCTGCTGCGCCACGTCGGCGCACTGCGCCTTTCCCGGTGGAGAAGAGTCACGGCGGAGCTGCAGGACTTCGTCGGGGAATCACGGCGCACTCGGTGGGCCAAACCGGTGAGTGAGGGAGGGCAGTTTTGAATATATAAACATCTTCGACATATATTGATCATATTGCAACAAAATGTACATTTAAAGAGATCTAAAAGGTTAAACCGACGCAACCAGGACTCCAAATTTCAAATCAGTGACCGCAAACTGGAGTCTCTGTTTCTGACTGCAACTGGGACTTAGTCGGAGCGAGTCGCGAGTCGTCATTGGATCTTAAGGACAGTCACTGAAGGTCCTGGAACAACAACATAGCACTATTCACTGTATGTACCTGAGATGCTCCATGCATGCAAATGTATGGCCTGATAACATCTTTCTTTTGTGTCACTTCTGGGGGATACTCCATCGAATTCTCGCTGGCTCGCCCACGGCAGCCCATCTACCAAATTTGGTGGTTTCGACTCGCACACGAAACAGAGTCATTGACTTCCATCATCCGAAGTCAAGGATGAACGTAAAGATGAGATGGGTCAAAGCCTGGGAGTCCTGGTCCACCATGTATCTTCACCAACACCATCTAATTAGGTCAACCAACGCTCAGATCTTAGAACATCTTAGAACCACCACCACCCAGCATCGAATCGCGAATTCGATGGACGTTGGAGTGACCAACAGCCCGGGGTCATGCTGGTGGACGCCCGTGCGAGAAGGTGGGCGAGAAGGGTAATCCCTAAGAGTTGAAGCGAAGTATCCCCGTTCCACCATGAGCAGTCTGGCCGGCCGTTTTGGCTAAAACGCTTGGCCGTGAGCCAAAGACGGACTCCTACCGAAATGGAGACATGAGGAATGAGGATCCTCCGTTACAAAACTTTAGAGAGTTGAACGACACAAGGCCGCCGCTCGCCATGCGTGCTGCCCTCGCTGGGGCGAGGAAGCTCTATGCAAGCAAATGAGATTCGGAACATCAGATTCGCAGAATGAGAAAACAAAAAAGTACAGTATATAATCTGAGAGAGACTGCACCCGCTCCAAAAAACTGCATTGTTTCGTGTCACGGCTTCCCTTCACCTGAAGGAAACACCATTCCCATCCAGTCTTCCCGCTGGAGACCCCCTCCTGAGCACAATCTTCCTGGGCGGAGATCGTGGAGCAAGACTCAAAGCAGAAACGGAAAGAGGCACTGCACTGCAGTACTGCACTAAGGCAGTGAACCGCTTTTGGTACAACCATGTGACCTGTGTTTGTCTGATTGACTGGAAACACATAACGTGAAATACACTCTACAAGCACTAATGTCATGGCTTCAACCTCATGGGAGCCTGATTTGCTGGTTTGGTCCATCATCTTGCCCCCGAAGCAAATCCGCTACTGCAGGGACGGGCTGATGCGTTCTGACAGCCTATCATCCAGTCGGTGCATTCACATCCTAATATATATGTGGTATTCGGGGGCTCGATCCTCTAAATAAAGGGTTCCGCAGTCAGTTCAAGCCGTTTCTGCTCAATCACAGGAACAACTGCTTCTGGGTGAGGTGGTTCAAGCTCTGAAAGCCCTTGCCACACGACGTAGAGCCGAGTGTCTGGCGTCACGACGCAATCACGCTTGAGTCCCTTCTTGAACTCGGGCTCATTCTCCTGGAAAGCATCCAACAAAGAATGTAAAGTATATTTTGGGCTTTGCCCCGGCACAGTAACAGTGACCACAAATCATACCACAAAAAAAGCACAGCAATTTAGCCATAGTTGGCATTAGGATGACTTTCATTTGCCCTTTCTAACGCTGGCTACATTAATCATG